AAATACTCAATTTTCAATGCATAAATCGAGCGCCTAGCTGAAATCCAAGTTCATTACGCTGTCTCTGACCCTTCAATTGTCCTTCTTCTACAATAGCCTTCAAAAGTTCGTTTGCTGTCGCTTTGTATAGAATCGCTGTTTTTTGTAGGTTCGGCTCGGTGGGCTTCAACGGGACTGGTTCTCTTGAAGGCCCTATACGTCTAGGATCCCTCATATCCCTTAAAGGATCCCTTATTATTCCTGCAAGATCCCTTAACGTCCCTAGGCCATTCCGCCTTCCGCCTATGGCTTGGTATGCCTTTAGCACAAACCCAAGGAAATTCGCTTTTTTTTTCAAACTCCGCAAAATCGACAAAAAAGCTTATTAAAAGCCCTTGGACGATGTGAAGCTGGCGTGATGAAGCTTTTTGGTCAGTCATCCCGAGACTATCAGGCGGCATCTGTTATATCGCCCGAATCAAACAAGTTTTGTGCAACAACTAACGAATGTGAAGTGGGAAAACACGTATCGTGTACGTCAATGAGTGTTTTCCAAGCGAAAGAATACTATAGGAAAAAAGTTTAAGACAACCAGTACAACATGAGCTGGTGGTAATTATCCAATTACACTGGTAAGAGCATGGTATTGCTGCACTGAAGGATAACTATCACTCTCACCCATATTCACTGTAATGGCACCAAGTAGGGGTCTCAGGGAAGTCCACTCTATCAGATGCTATACGAAGTTATTACGCCCGTGAGGTGGCAATTGGAGAGATGGGTTGTAGGAGGAAAAGAGGAAATAATGAAGAAATGGGTCGAAGACATACCTGCAAGTAGAGGAAGGTACATGATGGCGAGTTGCATCGCGTGTGCGATGCCGTGCGAATGTTTCGCGCCCGGTTCGGCTAATGGGCGTGTCGTCGCCGAGTGGCGCCGACTGGCGACACACCACGAAAACGAGAAGCCAACATTTTCTACGTCGTTGTCTGTCTTCGCCGTTGAGATCGTCAGCAGAAAAATCTTAAGCACCTTCAAAAGCCAAAGCACGCCCCAGAGTTTCCTCTGCATTTTTTTCTTCAGTAAAACTGGGAAAAAGTTCTCGGTTTTCCATAAGAACAAGAAGTATTTTATAAGATCAAAAAATAAGAGAATTCGCTAATAAGTGGCTTCTTAAAGTGTAGTAAAGACAAAGGACAACTCGTAGTGCGAACTCGTAAATCCTCTTTGGGATGCGCCATGCATTCCTCTTCCAATCGAAACGTCGTGGCACTTCGAATGCAGTGAAGACACAACAATTAGAAATCGATGAGTGGTAATTCGTATAAAAGCAACTTTCAATAATCACATCTGTAAAGGACCTAATTTTATCTTTGAGGCCTATGATCAGCTGATAGCCTCTGCCACTTCCGGCTTTTCAAGCACCTAAGTAGGAAGGAATTGTTGAGTTTTCAAAGAATTTACCCTTCTAATATACGTTTGATATTACAGTTAGGAGTTGTATAACTTCGTGTTTCTTGTGTTTGCCTTAAGCAAACGTTATAACAAACATAAACAATAAACATAGAGACTTGTGTATTGTTAGTGCTGTTTTACGCCTCAGTTCACGTTGCAAATGATTTGGTGCCTCGATAGCTCTTGTAGCGCACTTGCTCGGTAAGCGAGAGGTGTAGGTTCGAGTTCCGTCTAGGGCAAAAAATTTGTTCATAAACGACATAGTACTTCATATGTGCTGTCATACCGTCATTCCACGGTGTTGGTAGCTCAGGAGAGGTTGAACAGATACATCAGGGGCTAGACACACCCTTCATATCTCCCAGAAATAACTCATCCATACCCGTTCTCCGTGCTGCTGTGACAAGAAGCGATTCCGCAGCACCAGCCGTGGGCAACGAGAATGAGAAAATTTCTTAGAATCGGTTATGATGACATAAGGCGCAGTTTTTAAAGTCGTAACTGGCTCCACTTACCACCTCTAGAAATTAAATTCCGCACCAGACCCGCCAACCAGGCCTTTCATCGCTCCGGATAGGTTAATTGGTATCAGACTTGTTCGAGAGGATACAAACAAGGACTTGCACTTTGGCTAGTTCCCGCAATATTATTGATCAGGACAAATTACTTTCAATTGCTGCTTTGATACTGAATTGAAGCAGAGTGCATGGCGCATCCCATAAAGTTTCTATTCAACGCTGACATTTTGATCTTTCTGATGATATGATGAGCTCTAAGAGTAGAACCCGAAAGAGAGCAATGATATGGAAGGGAATACTTTGACTCTTGCAACCGTCTGTACTTCAAGAATAAATTATTTCTTTTTTATCAATTTTAACCCATTCGTGACGACGGTAGCCACCGGTGGCCGCCGTGTTTCAAATGGAATTTGAAAAGTTTTCTTCCTGAAAAGAATCTTCATAGCCTCGGGCAGGGAAATCTCCATCCACTCAAATTTTATTGAAGAAAAATCTCCTGACTCTCCTGCTATTGCGCAATCCGCGCGGTCGCGACTGGGTTAAGGACTTAATGAAGATCTAGTAAGGCCTTCTTTCATAGAAAGCCGGTCATGGTAGTCGAATGCTGTTCTTTAGCATGAACTGACGGCTCCTCAAGCATAGGACAAAAGAGAAAAGGCCAAATTTTCACTCGATGCTTGTCATTTTCAATGGCCGATATTTCTGCGCTTAGTAGAAGAATGTTGCCATCACCTAAAGATGGCCGGCATTCAGCTAGGAAGATCTGTCATAGCGCTTTCCCCTTAAAAAGTCCTAGGAGTGAAAAATCGTATA